ATTTAGCGTCATCGATAGTCCGCTGCTCATCTAATCCGCACACACAATCCAAGCCCATTCTTGCCCCCATGAGCAAATGCACTTGCGGCAGCGGGGAGGAGGGAGGGGGGGGGGGCAAAGTTGGCTCGGAAATATGAATTGGAAAGTGTGACGTCTTCGACTGTCATGACGATCACTGTAAAATTCTTCAGGGCCGAATAATGGCTTGCGCAAAAAACGATGTATTCGGGGCCCCAAACAGGGTCCGAAGTAGTCTGTGAAAGTGGGGGACGCGGAGTGCGATTGCAGTCACGGTATGGGCAGAAGTACGGGGAGGAAGAGGGAGCACAAGTGGTGGGGGCCTATTCTTAGACCCTAAACACCAGCGCCACGCCCTCATCTCCCACCGCGACGATTTTCCAACCCCTAGCATTCTCAAGGTCGGTATGATCGCCCAAGCCGCCCGTATCTTTGCCCTGCGTGAAGCCGTCATCCCTGCCTATGTCCATAGCTAGCACGCTATCCGTAAAGCCGTACTGCGTAGAGATGCAAGCGCCCGTTCTCGCTTCCCACGTCTTGATTGTGCAATCCGGCTCTGCACTGCTCGTACTGAAGAGCGTTGTTCCTGGGTGCATGCACAGCGCAGTGATGGCCGAGGTAGGAGTGGAGGTGGAATGATACACTTCGCACCTCATCTTCCCAGACGACAAATCCCACACTATACCTTTACCTTCTGTACTGACAGTGATAGCGTGCGTAGGTGGTCCGACATTCTCCTTGTCCTTATTGCCAACACCAAGCGCAGCATTTCCAGAAAGATCCACGAAACTGCTACCTTCAATACTTTCTCCCGACGCATGTCCTACCAACTCTCCAACGACGTTCAATCCTCCTCCAAGCTCTACCGCTGCGATGTTGACCAATCTGACATCCCCCTCTGCCCCGCCTACCAACAACACCTTGCCATCCGAAGAGATGCAAAGCGAGGTGATGCCGGACGAAAAGGGAAATCGAGTATCGCTGGATTGCATCTTGCCGAGCGGAGAGCCGCTTCGGGGATCCCACACTATCAGAGATCCATCTTCCGATACGGTGGCCAATTTCTTGCCTTTCGATGGAAAGAGGAAAAGAAAAAAGAAAAAGAAAAAAGAAAAGCGAGAGCGCAAAGACCGAGTCAATTTCGACAAAAGGTTCTGTGTGCGCAAGCAAGTTTGTGAAAGAGGGCGAAATGTAGCAGCTCACCATCGGGCGTCCATGTGCCTGTAGATACGCCAGCCGCGTGACCCGAAAAGACTTGCATCACATTGCCGCTTGGCACTGTAGCACGGCGAGTGAAAGATGGAGGAGAGGCTGAGCACGACGGCGGTCCTTGCACAGCACAAAGCGCGACATGTATCTGCCATACGAAGAGTACGTCTCGAGCCCCATGGCCTCTGTACCAAGAGATTCTTTGCTGCGGGCGAGAGAGACTGCCACCGC